GGGAAAGAGCCTCTCCAAATTAAAACTTGACCTGGAAGCAGATACATGCCTTTCTTCTGGGAAAGACAAGGGGAGAATTCTCAAGGCTTTTCATTTTTATTATTTTTCCCCCCCTCTGTGGAATTTGGCATGGGAAGAGACCAAGACTTCCAGGAAATTTTGTAGCTTTGACTTTAAAAAAAGAATTGGCAAGGGAGGGCTCCATAATAACGCCTAATTGCTTCTGGTATTTTGAAAATACAGTGATTAAATGTGCATGTGTAATGCAATCTGTAAACTGGCTGCCCGACGCCAAAGAGGAACTTTCTGTACAAAATTATCCAGGTTCTTACAACAGACAGCGCAAATCCCCGCTGCGTCACGGCTGGGTGTCCAGCAAACAGCGCAAATCCCCGCTGCGTCACGGCTGGGGGGCCAGCAGGTGAAGGTGTTGGGGTAGAAAGCAGGTCTGGCAATTCAGGTTGTGTACTAAAACCCAGGGGGGCCTGTCCCAGACTAGGCTTGTGAGCTTTTTTCTGGGACAAACTTGTTTACACAGGCAAATTTGCACCCAGCAAGTGATACAAGTGCCCTTGTGGGGTAGCAGCTTCATTGGTGTAATGGAGCTGTTGCCGTGGGGGAAGGGGACTAAAATAACTGCTTGGGATGACTCACCTTCCTTGCAGTGCCACAAGGGCCAGGCCAGGTTTTTTTACTAGTGGAGGTCTCCTACCTCCAAGCAAAACAGTTGTGCTGGGAAAAAGCTGGTGGGTGAACCCAGTGGTGGAGTGTAGTGCCCTCGTGCCAAGGCCTTGGCATTGCCAGGCTGTCAGAAGCCTTCCCGAGTCTCTCCGCTCTGCTCTTAGGAGATGTGATATAGCAGGCTTGCAGGGTTAATCTTACTTGCTCAGGTATTGGTAGCAGTGAAGCCAATGACAGACTGTAAGCTTGCCACTTTTGGAGGAGGAGCCCCCCAAAATGCCTCTGCATCTGCAGTGCTGTTGGCCTGACAAACTGGGGAGAAGGAGATCCCTATTGTGCTTCGGACCAGCCATCTGGTTTGGATCCTTTCCCCCTCCGGTTTCGGTCCGTCGTCAATGGCTTTGCTGATGCTGCTTTCCAGAAACCGATGATCCTAGGCTGTGTTTCCTCCCTGCCTGCAGCATTTTGACTCGATTGACTCAACGTGCATTCTTCAGGTCCTGATCTCGATAACCTCTGAGGTGCCGGGTTTGTACGTAACAAGGTCATTGAAAGAGGGGAGGCATCCAGCCCATTTTGGGGGCATTTGGTGTCTTGCGGCTCTAAGGACAATGAATCCCTATCAGCAGAATGGTAGAGAATTGCTAAACACGCCTGAGACCAATTCCTCAAGTTTTTCTGGTGTAAATCCAAGGAGTCTTCAGGGGTGTTGCTGCTGATGCCAATGTGAGTAGTTCTGAACCTAACTTGGAGCTGCAACCCCACTATGATACGAGTTGGGCGACCAGCCAACCAGAAACGTGGCCATGTTTGGCTTTCCAGTTCGAGGGGATTATCCCTGCGCAGCCTATACCCTGTGTAGTCCTGCAGACCCAGCCTCCCTGCTTAATACAGTTTTATTGTGTTGAGGTTGGCAGACTCCACTGCATGTTACAGCAAAACCCTTGCATCTATTTAAAACAGCCTTAAAAAGAAAACAAAACCACATTCCACCCACTCATTTCGCTGGGGACAAGTCATTGTTTGTGTCTTAATGGGAGAATAAATAGCACCAGGGCTTATTTCTCCCGTTCTCCATCATTGTCATCCTGGGAATTGTGGGGAGAATAGATTTTTTTGCATCTGAGTTTGAGCTACGGAACCAAATTCAGTCCTGATGTGAATGGATCGTTTGAAGTCGGTGGAATTCCTTGTCTCAGTCCCAGGATTGTGCTTTACTCTCCGTTATCCTAGTCAAATCCCTTGGGCCAGATCCTTAGCTGAAATGGGAACAAGGCCCATAATTGGATGTTGTTAAATCCTGTTAAGCCTGCAGGATCTTGGGCTAAGGGAGTTAGTTACTTTTGTGTAGAGAAAAGGGTCAGGAGTGGAGGGGTGGGGGGAGCTGTTCTTTTTGGTTAGATCTTGCAAGAGGGATCCTCATTCCCATCCCTCTGCCAGTAGAGAAGGGTGTTACCATAGGAACAGGTTGCCCATACGTCCAGTTTGCACAGAAATCCAGAAAACCTCTGTGATTTGACCGAGGTGGAAAATCAATAGCAAAACTGGACGCGGGAAGAAGTCGAGACCCCAGTGTCTGTCTGAGGGTAAGAGGAACCTGGTGTAGCCAAGGTCCAGATATCTCCCTTAGTTGGGGAGCAGAGCCGGTTAAAATATTGTGAATATTGGTCATTTAAGATGGGATTTCCTCCCCCCTCCGAATTTGCAGATCCGTGCTGTTGGATTGATTCATCATGAGGTTTGCCCAAAGGTTCTGCTGTTGGATTTGTCATGCTCTCCTTCCCCGCCCCCAAGTTTTTTAAGCATGTTTGATGCCTGTTTGCAGAACTCTAGGATTCCCCCACCCCTTTCCTTTCCCTGACCAGGTCTGCGGTAAAGGCATCACCCTATTCCCCTCCTTCCATTTCAGCCCCGGACACCACCAGCCCCCCATTATCCCATTCCAGCCTAGGTCTCAACCTGTCCCGGTTGTGTTTTCAGACGTTAAGAAAGAAAGGTTTTAACGGTTGTGACAGCCCGGAGCCTGACGGAGAAGACTCCATCGACCAGAGCCCCCTGATGGAGGACAAATACCGCAAAGCCAGCGAGGACCTGGACATCCTATTCAAGCGCTATGGTGTAAGTACTGTGCCCCTCTGGCCAGAAACCTTCATTATGTGTTTTTTTTTTTTTTTTCTTTTGTTCGATTTCCCCACAACCCTCTTCCCCACCACCTCCCCCCCACCCGACCCTGAACGTCACAGGCGCTGAACAAGAAGCACAGGGAGTGCGAGAGCCCAGAAGGGGACGAAGTGTTTGCACTGACCCCACAGACGGAGGAGAAATATAAAAAGATTGATGAGGAGTTTGATAAAATGATGCAGAGTTACAGGCTCGCAGTGAGTAGCTGGTAGCCTGCAACCCCCCTTTTTGCTGCCCCCCCCTTGCACCCTGATGGACACTTAGCACTTAGTATGCAAAGGTAGTGATTTGCATGGCTTTGCTCCCAGAGCCTTGCTGTGCCTCATTTGTTTGCTCCCATCCGATGCAGCAAACCCAGGGCTAGGGATGCACTAGGAGGTGATGTTGCCTAATGGTTAAAAACAGGCCCAGTGATGCTAAGACCCCTCTTGCCTGCTCTGCCAGTGCAAAGGGGCCTTAAAGTGAGAGGAAAGAGCCCCTTTATAATATCCACCTCCCTCCAGCACAGTCCCAGCTATACTTCTAGCACCCACCCAGGCTATTTATGTCAGGTCTTAGAATGAGCATCAATCAGAGGTGAAGGGTCCTGGATGGTGCCAGCTGGGTGAGCTCTGAGATCAGAAGACTTACCAACAGAGCTATTATTTTAGCACTGATATACTTATCCCAGCATATCCCCCAGTATAGACACAATTAAACTTAAAGGCATGTGTTACTCAGTTATTTGCATTGAGAATGAGCTGTGCATGGTGTTACCACCTTCCAACCAACATACTGTATATGCTGGCATACCATGTGCCCCCCAAATAAGACGAGTGCCTTGTGTCTGGGAGGCTGAATGAATTTAAAAAAAAAAAGGTGTTTCCTTTAAACAAATGGTTTGGAATGGATTTCCTCATTTAAGACATGCCCCCAATTTTTGATTGCTAACTTTTTTGGGGGAAAGGGGTGTGGTATGTCATTAAATATGGTAATTTCCTCCCATGGGAGGGGAGTGGTACCACTGTCGTCATCTCAGTGCAGGTGAGATCATGCTACCTTTAAGTGTGAGGAATATAGAGGAGTTGAGGTATCTGGCTTGAAACTTCCAGTTAAATTAGAGAGCTTCAAATCCAGTCCCATTGCTGCTAACCTCGGGTCAAATCCTGGTGCTGTTAATCCAGCAAACTCTTCTTCCTGGGGAGTTTTGCCTCCATAAGGGAAGGGTCTCGCTGTACCCAGGTCTGGATCTACTCTGGTTTGCTCTCACATTAAATCCACACAAATCCACAATCCGTCCAGTGCAGCTGGTGGAAGTGGCCCAAATCCCAGGAGGTTTTAGCCTCCGGTCACAGCGCCAGCCCTGAGGTGGCATCAGGACAGTGCCAGAAGGGATTTGTGTCAAGGGAAGGGGATGTCACAAAGGATCCATTTGTCCAAGAGAGCCAGTCTTCAGAAGGATTAGCTACTTGGTCAGGCAGGGAGTAGAAAGGGAAGCTGATTTCCCAGGGATGGATGTAGCAGAAACACTCCCGAATCGTCCCTTCTGTTCTTGTGCCTTCTCCTGAGACTTTGCTCCTGTGAAAACAGGGTGAATAGTCTTCCTGCACCTCCTTCGTCCTTAATGCCACTCTTCTGGCATTCAGGGAGACTTAAAACAGGTAGCTACACTCTAAGGAGCCTTACATGAATGGGACCCTGGCTCTGTCAGGTCTCCGTCACCGGGCTGATGCTTAGAAAGGAATGAAACCTCAGCCTGTGACCAAGATTGAGGCTCTAGCAGGCCCCCGGGACAATATAAACGGGTCTGAAAGTGGGCATCACTGGAATTGTGCCTCTTTGAAAGCCCTACATTTGCTGCCAAAGAGGAGAAATCTTAGAAAATCAGGCCACAAAACCTGGAGTTAAGGAAGGTTTAGCTGATAGGGCCTGGCCCTGCCTTAGTGGATCTGGCTGGGATTTGGCCATCAGCTTGCTTGGTGCTGGGCTCAGAGCGGGAGGTTCTCTGGGCTTCCCCGTGCCAGCTTCATGCCAGCCCCTCCTGGCCTGATTGTCATGCACCTTGTGCAGTCCTTTTACACCAGCACAAAGCTGGTCCCACTCACCCCCCAGCCCCAAATCAGTGCAGGGTTTGATCTGCCTCTGGAGTTGCAGCCAGGTGTGGGGACAGAGCCCTGCCAGATCAGAACTGGCAGCATTTTGCACTTCCTTTGCCCTGGTGTCAAAGATCATCCAGGATCAGGGAAATGGAAGAATGAGGCTCCCTTGGTCACTTAGGGTCTGCATCCCACTAGCTCCCATTCTTACCAGTCTCTGCCCCAGAGACCTTCCAGTCGAGAGCATCCCACGAGCAGTCAGGCCTAGCATCCCACCCCCATCCTGAGGACCCGGGGATGAGTGAGGCAGGAGGAATGTGTAGTTGGAGCAGATGCTTTTCTCTCTAACCAGCTGGTTTGGTGTGATGAGAACTAACCCACCTGCCTCCTCTGCTGGGGGAAATGGCCGGGTAGATACTGGCGCGGTGTTCAGAGTGCCACGGACATGTGCTTTCCCTGGTAAAAGGAAGGCACTGACGTTTGGTTGATTCATAAGCTCCCCTCCCCTCCTCTCCCCACCCTGACCAACCCTGGGTTTGGGATTGTTGTGCAAGCTGCGTTCACCCTGACCCCTTTGCTTTCCATAACCTGGCCCTGCAGCCCCAGTGCCCCAGCACTGTGTCCTTGGCTGGAGGGGGCTCAGGTGCTACGACCCTTTGCGGGCTTGGACAGGAGCACTCAGTCATGGGGGAAGGATCGAAAGACCTTGAAGCAAATGGAGAGAGAGAAGAGGGTCCGGGGCTCAGCTTTGCAGGTCTCCCATGTGTACCAAAAGATGTAGCACCTGCATATCTATCTATCCTGGCATATCTGTCTGTCTATCCTGCCTTCCTTCCCACTTTCTCTCTCTTCTCTCTTTTACACACACATGGAGGGGCATGGTTCAAACACATTGGAGCTCGTTCCCAGTCAACCCCCTTTGAGGGCAGCATAAGGGAGGCTGCAACATTACAGCTGCATCCATTTCAGAGCTGTGCTAAGGGCCCTTGGTACTCATGAGAAACTGATTCAGAAAGAGTCTTTCTCCCTGGAGAGCTTATAGTGCAATGGCTCAAGTCAAGGCAGTGCAAGGGCTCAGGCTGGGGGTGGGGAACGTTTTTTGTGCCCTGCTGCTGCCTGGCACTGCTGGGTCCTGATGAGACCTTTGATGGGAAGAGGTGGGTGGCACTGGGGAGCTTTCCTGGCTGTGAACCCTCGAACAAAAGGAGCCAGGGCTCAACCGTCTGCTGTCGTGTCCCTGTCCTGCACCAAGGGGCCACTTAGCAAAAGGGTCCTAGCAAAGCTGAGAGATGGTGAAACCACCTGACTTTCCAAGCCCGATACAATTAAAATGGGGCTTTAGCAAAGCCCTGGGAAAGCCTCCAAGCAGGTGCCTGGCCTCATTAATGAAAAGCAAATTAGTGGTATAAGAAAGAGTGTTAAGATAATCTCGACAGTCTGGCTTTAACAGGGACCCAGATGGGTGGTGCACTCTCAAGTTGGGATTGAAGGACCTTGAAATAGGCATGATTCTGCTTCCTAAGGGCAGACCCTGGCTCTCATCACCGACTCTGCCATCAGCAATGGCAGCAGCTGTGTGCATGGAGTAACAGGACCTCTCTCTGCCTTGCCTCTGTGAAGCAAAGCAGCACTTCGGGAGTGCTGCGAGCCAGTCTGAGATCAACTCTTCAGATCCTTTGTGTTCTGGGTTTGTGCGGTGCCTAGCGCAGCCGGGTGCTGTTCTGTGGCTTGAGTGGCAATGCATTTTGGAACCAAGAACGGTCTGTTTGTGCTTGGTGCTGTCGAAAGGGAAAGAAAATCCCTGCTTCCAGAGAGCAAATCCCTGCCCTCTCCAGAAGCAAAAAAATTCCACCTGGCTAGATTCAAATTTCCTCCTCCTCAGTTTGTACCTACTGGGAAAAACCACCCTAGGCCCCTCTCTGTAATGGGCCAAGGTCAAGGGTATGAAGTGTTCGGCACTTTCCATTGCTAGAGACCTTTTCCCCTGCAAAGAAATCCCAGGGCGTGGGCTGGATCCTGAGCTGGCCCAAATCAGCATAGCACCACTGACTTTAATGGTTCACATCCTTTAAAGACAAGGCCCTGCATTTTATCATGTCTGCTGCAAGCAGCAACAAACCCCGGCTAGACACCGTGTACCTGTTGTGTCTCATACACCTATTAAGAATGGACCTGAAGGTCTTGAGAGTTAGAGGGACTCTTCTGGCTTCCTGAGATTGGGGAACTGAAACACAAGTGACTTATCTGAGGTCTGGTGGTGTCTGTAGCAGAGCCAGGAGTTGAACCTGGTGTTTTTGGAAGTCCAAGGTGGGGGACTACTGTCTTAGCCCCACACTTCCCCGTAGCGCAACTGCAGGAGATACCCAGCTTTGTGGCAGGCCCAGCAGTGTTGTCCATGGGAGCTCTCTTGAGCTCCTTCTCATGGCATATTGGTACAGACCCTCTCCCTTTCAACAAGCACATGTGAAGAACCAGTGGTTTTGGATATGAACAGTTCTCCAGGGGTTTACACTTCCAGGTGGTACAAACAGGCTCTTTCCACAGGCCTCCCTGAGAAAGCCTCGGCTGCAGTAAGCAGAGCATAATTCAGCTAGAGTAAATCAGGGTGCCCCGCTGACTTTAAGGGAGCTGTGCTCCTTTTCCCCAGCTGAGGGCCTGGCCCGGTCAGCTCCATTCATCCTCTTAGCAGCATCAACCCTGTGGTTGTGGGTCTTGCTTACGCAAAGACCACCATGCTCTGGCTTCCCTTTGATGGGCTGAGTCATGCCCAGCTCCCTCGGCGGGCTCTTTCTAACATGCTTTGCTAACCCCTGTGGTACGTAAAGCGTTCCCTGTAGTAAACAACAGAAGACAAAGCCAAGCAGCTGGTTGCAAGGCAGTGTGGCTTTGATGGTGTCCTCGTGGGCACCTCTTGCTCCTTCTTCTCTGCCTGCCTGGAAGCAACATGCGTTCTGGTGTGTATGGGGCAGTGGTTTGTTCTTATGGTGCGTTGGGGTCCCTCATTTCATGAGGTGCCTGTCCTGCAGCAGAGGAACCACAGCAGGCATGAGGGGCTGCATAGGGCTGGGGAGAGCAAGTCCCCACAAGGAGCGGGTCAGAAATGAACTGGGTCTGGTCTCCTCTGGCCTCGGTCGTCATCACAGGTGGAGGACTCGGGGATGTTTTGTGTGGTGTCAGCACACCTAACAGCTGCCTGCTCCTTGGCAAAGCAAATAACTCCCAGCAAAGCTCCCCCTTGTCCCTGTCCTCCCCCAGCACAGCCTCTGGCTCACACCCCCCATCTCTGTTCAGTCCACAGTGCCAGCGCCGAACTTTGCCATGCCTGTGACGGTTCCCGTGACCAATCAGAACACGCTACAGTTCAGCAACCCCGGGAGCTCCTTAGTGACCCAGTCCCTTGTGACCTCCTCGCTGACGGACCCGCGGCTCCTCTCACCTCAGCAGCCCACTTTGCAGAGAAACACCGTGTCCCCAGGCTTGCCACAGAGGCCAGCCAGTGCCGGTGAGTGTTTGCGCCAGGCGGGACTGCCCAAGAGAAATGCCAGCCTTTCCCAGCTGTCTGTTGATGAGATCAGGGGACTGGGAAGGCAGATCTTAGGATCATGGGAAAGCTGGGCTGGAAGGGACCTCATGAGGTCACATCTAATCTAGGCAGGGTCAGCCCTGACTAAACCATCTCAGCCAAGTGTCTGTCTGACTTGCATGACATAGATGAATGGTTTAAATTCTCAAGTTTGGGGGAAGAGGGGTGTGCACCAGTAGTTACGGTAGCGGACTGGGAATTTGGACTCCTGGGTTCTTTTCCCAGCTCCCTCTCATCTGTGATGTGTGAGTGGGGACTGGTGGCAAAATTAACAGGCTTGAGGTATGAGCAAAGCATTCAGAATCCCGAGTACATCCGGCAGACACCAAAAGTCTTGTTACAAGAAGGAAAAAAGGGTGCAGTTTATTGGGAAAGAACTGGGAATGGCTCTCCCTGCTCTCAGTGGGAAGGAGCACTTCCCAGCTGTCCCAGAGCTGCGGGAGGCTTGTTGTAACCACTCTCTGCAGATGCCAGCATGACAGATCCTGTTTCCAGCCCTGCTGCTAGGCATCGCGCTCTCTGCCTTGGAGCCACAGTGTTTTCCAAAGCTTGGCAGTGGGCTTCTGTGCTGCACAGCTCATCCCCATTGCATGTGGTCTTGGATCTGTGTTGTTTCCAAACCCACTCCTGGGAACGCAGCCCAGCTTTTGGACTTGCTGCTGCTGCTGAAGTCCCGCTACCTGGTCCAGCACCATTGTGCCCCCTAGACCAGATTCCTAACTGACTTGGTTCTGATTGTTTTCTAGGGGCGATGCTTGGGGGAGACTTGAACAACACAAATGGAGCCTGCCCCAGTCCCGTGGGTGAGTGAGAAGCTGTGCTGTTTTTTCCATCCCTGCAGGCTGTGTGGCTTAGTGGCTAGAGCAGTGCACAGGCTCTGTTCCCAGTACCTGGGTTCTATGCCCACTACTGCCCCAGGCCTGGTGGGAAACCTTGGATAAGTCACCTCACCTTCTCTGTTTGTTCCTCAGTTTACCCAGCTATAAAATAAGGGTTCTTGCCTCCTTGCTTGCTGATCTGGGGCTGGGCATTAGAAATCATAGACAATTGGGGTTGGAAGGGACCCTCAGGACTATCTCCAAATCCCTCAAAGCAGGGCCATCCCCAACTATCTTATCCCAGCTATGGGCTTTGTCTAGCTGGGTCTTAAACACTTCCAAAGATGGAGATTTCACCACCTCTCCGGGTAACCTGTTCCAGTGCTTTTCTACCCTCCTAGTGAGAGAGTTTTTCCTACTATCCAGCCTCAACTTCCCTTGCTGCAACTGGAGACCATTGCTCCTTGTTCTATCATTTACCACCACTGAGAAGAGTCTAGTTCCATCCTCTTTGTAACCGCATGTACAGGTGTCGGGGAACTTGAGCTTTCAGGTTAACACATTTTTGCGGGGGAGGACGGTGTTTTAGACTGGGCTGCAAACAGCTGCCTCTCACTAGATGTCTGTGAAGCCCCTAGCAGGGTGCAGCAGGGACAGCAGACGTGGTATTAGGCTTTAGTAAGAACCCACAGCTGCTGTGATGCAAGTGAGACCAAGCCTGAACTCAGCAGAGTTATTGTGTGTTTTAATGGTCCAAGTTCCTCCTTGGGGCAGCAAAGTGTGGTTAAGGCAGGATGTGAATAAGAGGCCATGATTTGGTATTAATAAGAAGCCCAGATTACCCTCCCAATCTTTACCTCTGTGTGGGGGAGAAGGCAGGTATTGAAAGGGGCTAATGACCTATGTAGTGCTGTTGTAGCTGAGCCTGGATCACACTGTCCATATGAAAATATGATCCTGGATCTCAATGTGTGTTTTAAACAGAGCCAAACTGGAGCCCCAAACCTGGACAGCTCAGGAAGCTGCTAGAATCATAGAAAATGAGGTGGGAAGGGACCTCAGGAGGTCACATCTAGTCCAGCCTCTTGCTCAAAGCAGGACCAGCCCCAACTACATCATCCCAGCCAAGGTTTTGTCAAACCTGGTCTTAAAAACCAAGGATGGAGATGCCACCACCTGTCTGGGTAGCCTGTTCCAGTGCTTCATCACCCTCCTAGTGAGAGAGTTTTTCCTAATATCCAACAAACTCCCCTTGCTTCAACTGGAGCCCATTGCTCCTTGTTCTGTCATCTGCCACCACTGAGGACAGTCCAGCTCCATCCTCTATGCAACCACCCTGGAGGGAATTGAAGGCTGCTATACAATCCCCACTTGGTCTTCTCTTCTCCAGTCTAAATAAGTCCAGTTCCCTCAGCCTCTTCTCATAAGTCATGTTCCCCAACCCCCAAACCATTTTCATTGCCCTTCACTGGACTCTCTCCAATGGAGAGAGGATCCTTCCAACCCTTTCGCTCCCTTTCCTCCAGCCTCTGTGGCTTATGGCAACCTGTAACCCATGAGCTGCAGTGCAAATCCCTGTAGCACCATGCCCTGACACACCTATGCTCTGCTGTGTATGCTTGGGCTTGTGAGGGCTGAAGGGGGCCCAGGGCAGGTGTCTTATCTCCATCGTGTACCTTTGCAGCTCCTGGGAGCAGAGCCCATCCCCAGGACATGACAGCCCCCAAGATCCGTGTCAGGAGTTTGCTGCTGCTCTCCCTCCACCCCCACCTGGCAGGGACAAGCCCTGTCACTTTCTATTCCCCCCCTCTCCAAGCCTCCAGCCCCAGCACCACCTCCCTGCAGCCCCCACGTCAGCTGTTGGGAGCAGCCGCTCCAGCTTCCAGCTTGGCAGGTTTCATGAAGGTCAGGATTGACGTCACCGAGCCATTCCTCACATTCCTGCAGCTGCTCTGGGGAGCAGGAGCGGGCGAGCGGCAGGCCCTGCAGCCCCCGTCAGCCTCTGCTGCTCCCCCTCCATTCCCCCCAGCCCCTTCCTAGCCCCTTGGCTTGCATCAACACCTAGATGCATGTCAGGTGGCTGCATGTGGGGGGAAGCTGGCAAAGAGGGGATCGCTGTTCTTTTTCTCAGAGTGGACACAGAGTTCAAGATGTCTTGGGGATAACTTTGAGTTTCACCCTGGGCCAGGCTTTGGTCTCTTCCTGTGTTTCCTGTGGGCATACAGGACGTGGTGCTGTGCTGCAGTCTGGGGAAATTTCAGGCTACAGATGAGGTCTCATGTGTGCTGCTGGAGCCTAAAGGAGACTCTTTAGAGGCAGTATAGGGCCTATGACACATGGCTGGAGTGGAGCTGATGCCCTCCTGCTGGAGGCAGCGGTGCACTCTGCGCTTGAGGCAGCCCAGCAAGATGCCGCTGTGGTGGTTACCATGGGAGCCTCTGCATGTGTCCCTGCGAAGGCTGGGAAACAGAAGGGCTTCTCGCATCCTTCGTGGCCTCGGCCCCTTGTGTCTCACTCGCGCTCCGCGGTAGAAGCTCCATCGTAAGAGGAACTGACTGCCAGCAGCCAAGGTCACCCTGGAAATGTTATGCACCTTCATCTTCAATTAACATAAAAGCCAGCGGCCTTGCGAGCGGCACGTGGGCACAATAGCGTGTGCCTCGGTTGTGCCTCTGCACTATGTTGGCACAACAGCGTGTGCCAACATAGTGCAGAGACCCTGAGCCTCCTGTTTCGGGGTGCAAACATTTAGGGTCAGGAGCAAACCATCCTCGCAGACCGCTGTCCCTTGCTGCAGTGTTTCTTCCTCTGTAGGACCTGGTCTCCTTGGATGGAGACAGGATATCGGGCCAGATAGGTTGCAGGGCTGGCACTTAGACTTCTGAGCAACCCAAAATGGAGCAGACGTGAAATCCTTTCCCTGGGTGATCTCTCTTGCATGCAGGAGCTGTTAGGTGTGGATCGCTCCTTACCCCTTTCCCAGTGCCAGCTAAGGAGTCATGGCCAGGACTTGTTTCTAATTAGAGCACCCCTGAGGCTGCTGTAGCATACACGACCATCCAGCCCAGCGAAGAAAACTCAGTGGTTTTTGCTCTGCTCTTCCAGACTCTCCTGCAGTCAGGCAAGGATCAGGTCCACTAATTTGACAGCACATCTTTAGTGTATGCCGCACCCAGGACCTCGTTCTCACTGGATCCAATTTTTCCCTCCCAATTCTCTCTCGTTTGATTGGGCTCAGTGGGGGAATTACCATGGGTCTCCAGTGGGATCAGATCTTTGCTGTGGCAACTTCCACTTCCTGCCCCGAGCACTCGATCACCCTGTGTCCTGGGAGCAGCAGGAACAAAATTGGGCCTCAGCTGAGAATGCCTCATGTTGGAAGCAACATCGTCGCCTCCCACCTCCTGCCGAAATGCAGATGTGGTCCAATTGTCGGCGTGATTAATAATGCAATCAGCGACCTATTTTTCCCAGTCTAACAGGCGCTGAATATGAGGGCTGAATCTTGGTGATTGCTAAATGTCTTTCTATCTTCAGGGCCTATTCTCTCTCTCACACACGCGCACGCGCGCACACTCACACACACACACACATGCACGCACACGCACACATATATCAAAGAAAAAGAAAAATCTCATCAGAACAGTAATCGGATCCAAATTACTCTTTTCCTGATGTTCATCAAATTGCTTTCCTTCCTTCCTTCCTTCCTAAAGTTCCAAACTGAGCTGGGGAGGAAGAGGAGCTGGAGGCTGGGGAGACTGTAATCATCAGAGGGGCATTAGGATACAAGAATGTAATTCCTATTTGTGCAATGGGATCGTTAAAGGAAAGGGATGGTCCTTTGGGCTGGCTTCACCTGCCAGGTTGTCAGAAAGTGGCCTCAGTGCGACGAGAATCAGAAGTGTCATGTCTCCTGCATGTCTTTTCATAGCCCCAAGAGGGAGAGGGGTGAAAGTGGTGAATTGGAACTGGAGAGACCTGGGTTCAAGTCTCATCTGTGCTCCAGCCTCCCTAGCTTGGCCTGAGGGTATGGACACACAAGCCAGGGACCCCAAGCTGAGGGCTTTACAGTGTGTCGACTGCTCTGTGGTAGGAGCTGGTGTGTAGGCTCCTACATGCAACACAGTGCGATCCACTCTGCTGCACCCCAGTGGAAAAGGGTCTGCTTTCATCTACCCTGGAGTAAGAGTATACACATGGAAAGTTACCACTGAGCACCTGACACAGGGCAATTCCCTGCCCTCCCAGGCTGACTTGGCTTGAAGGGACACCTACACAGGGCAATGGAGAATCGAACCTGCTCTCTCCCCACTGCACCAAACACACGTGTATTTACTCCCCATGTCCTCTCCCTGCAGGGAATGGGTACGTCAGTGCCAGAGCCTCTCCCGGCCTGCTCCCGGTCTCCAACGGTAATAGCTTGGGCAAGATCATCCCACCCAAATCCCCGCCGCCGCCTTCCCACACCGCCCAGCTCGCCGCCAACAGCCGCAAGCCGGACCTCCGTGTCATCACCTCACAGAGCGGCAAGGGGCTCATGCACCATTTGGTGAGTGCTCAGCGCAACCGGGGAAATTCTTGAGGCAGCCGCATTGCCGTCTCTTGGGAAATCAGGTCGCTCGGCTCCAGGGAGACGCTGAAGACTGGAGGTTGACAGCAGTATTCCCCAGCAACAGGAGCACGCGGCGATGTTGCTGATGGATCATTGCTGGAGAATACTGCAGCCTATCCCAGGGATAGGGCATATAACACAGCTAGAAAATACACCTCCTCTTCTCAGCAATGGCATGCCACTACACAATGCACACAGAGTTGGGCTGTTCTAGGGATGCTGTTCTCTGAGGCAGTAGGCAACCCAAGAACTCCCCGGACCTCAAAGTCTAAGCCCCTGTCCAAAAGCAGGAAGGCTGCTTCTAAATCACATGATATTTTCCAGTAATAGCCCATGGCTTTCCAGCTGCAATGTGATGCGCCAACAAGAGCATCATGATGAAAAGCTGCCTTCACAATAGGTTCTCAGCAATGCTAGAAAGGGGCTTTGTACCATGCTGGTAGCGTGCAGCAGCTTTAAAGGAGATGTCAGTACAGGAGCCTGGGTTTTCACATGTATTGAGGCCTGTGACGCCAAAATGAGGACAACGAATGTAACGGACCATTTTGGGGTGTTCTCTGCCACCAAAGCTGAGGATAAAAGAGAATCCAGCGGCAGGTGTGATGAGTGTCTGAGGTTGTGTTGGCTATATTGGGTTTGGCCAGGCTGCAGAGTTAATGCTGTTGTAACCAGGATGATTCACTTCACGTTCCACATGCTCAGTGCCTTAAACAGAGTTGGCCAGTCTAGTGGGGGGACATGGGATACACCTCAAGGTAGGACCATTTCTCTCAACTCCAGCGCCAGCTCTCATCTACCTGAGCAGCTTGGAGTGTGAACGCACTTGAAGTTTGCCTGACAACTGAATTTCTGCTGCAATATTTTGCGGTGCCGCCATCACCAACATGGTCACTTCCAAGCGATCTCTGCTGACTCCAGGTGTGAGAACTCACATTAACTCTGCAGTCAAGAACTCGCCATTAGCTAACTTTGACTTAAAAGAAAGGCACGTTTTTCCTTACTAGGCTAATCTGTACTTGAAAGGGCCTGCCAGCATTAATAGAGCTTTCCTGGCAGTGCCAGCGAAAGAGTTGGCTTACATCAGTTCTCCCAGGAAAAGGACAGGTTTGCCTGGCCTTGTGCCCATCTCCATGGGGGTCTTTGCTGGCATGGCTGTCAGTGAGAGACTTCCATGCACCTATGGCAGCAAAGCTGTGATGGTAAAAGAGGGCGCTTGTTGTCCATGAGCCTCTGGTGCTGGGTTGGGAAGAGCTGCCAACATAACGGTACCCATTGGCTTTCTTTCTGTTCTTGTGCATGCAGACGGAGGACCACTTGGCTCTGGTGAGTTCCCTTGCTGTGTCTGTGTGTCCCAACATGTCATGAGTCTGTTTGGTTTAACACGAATGTCAGGATGATCCTGTAACTCTACCCTTCCCCCCCCTACCCCCAACACACACACACACACACTTTGGAGGGCTGGGGTTTAACTGAGGGATCCTAAGTCTTATTTACCCCTGTATGCTACTCTAGCAATGCCAAGAGGTTGCATTGAAATGGGGAATCGGGCTCTGGGACACTGTGTTTTAGGGAAAAGCATAAACCTTAGTGGGCTGTAGCTGCCCTGAGTGTAAAACAGCATCCCTGATTTACACCTTCACCTCTATGAAGCTGAGTTACCCAGCTGTTGAGCTATAACCCATTGATGTCAAAAACAATTTACACCCCTGAGTCTGCCCCGCTAGCTGCAGTGAAGCCGTGTCAGTTTTTCTACGGCCCCTTATTGCTAAAATGAGAGGTAGGAACTAGATCGGGTTCTGGGCACATTCAGAAGCTCGTTGCTTGCTTTAGTTGGAAGTAGCTGGCCTTTGAGTTTGCTCCTGTACCCTGGTCTCCATGCATGGTTTGGTCTCCTGGCCCCTGGTCTCCTTCTCATGACTGCCCAGCTTGGAGTGTCACCTTGTTTGCAGCAATCACTGCTCCTCTGTGCTAACACTGTTGTGGTGCAGGGCAGGTGGCTGACAGGGTGGCCACATCTAGGAAAGGTTGTAAGGCATCATTAAAAGTGTGTGGGGGGTGGGTACTCAGGACCAGGGGTTTGGGAGTTCTTCAAAGGGGAGTGGCACGGAGGCTTTCCCTCCTGGGGAGGTGGCAGCATGACTGAGTGGATGGAGCTTGGCAGCCTTGGGTGTAGCTACCACTGGCCTGCAGGTGACTTCCTTGGCGCTCCCCATTTTGCTCCTGTGGAGCAGGGCTAAGGATCCTGCCTTCCTTAGCAGAGCACTGCGAGCTCTTTCAGGGCAAGGTGGCCATATTTTTGCAGTGCTCCAGACTCATCCCTTTGAGTGCAAACACTCCTCCTGCCTGCATTTGGCTCTGCTAACACACGGTTCAGCTCCCCAGACTCTCCTTCCAGATTGCCCAGCCTACACCCGAGATCCTCTCTGTCTCTCTAAACAGCTACTCCCACCTCCTTGTACACAGCAGGGAGGATGAGTCACCTGCCCCTCCGTGAGTCAGGCAGCACAATCCACTTAACCCTTTGCCAGCAGCTTCAGCCCCTGCTAATGTAGTGGGTGCGCTCCTGGCAGCCGTCGAACAGCATGAGCACTACTAGAGGGTTTGCTGTGTCTTTAAAGATATGCCACCCTATTCCTTCGATTTACACTGAGAATCTGTCTCCTAAAGCATAGAGCAATAACCATCCACTGAGCCTACCCTGATAAGCAGCTTCACTCAGGAGCATGTGCCTGACTATTATAATCTTGAATGACTGCTAACTTGGAACAGTTAGCAACCTGCATGGGTGTTACAGTGACATGGGGGAGTGGGAAAGCATTCAAATGTCAACAGGTTTTACCTGCATGAATAGGGCCTGAGACTGTTGCTTACTGCAAGCCGGCGTAGCATGAAATCATGAGCTGTAAACAAGCTGCTGTTTCATGGCCCTGGCATTTGGGGATCAATTCTTGCTTGCCATAAGATTTTGGGCTCAGGCCTACTTCAAGATCTGTCTCCCCCCTTCCCCCCCATTTTTTTTCCTTGCAAGAGCAGTGTGAAAGGGCTTTGTGCCTTCAGGGACCTCCAGAGAGAGGCTTTAAGGGGAAAGAGATTCCTTTCCCCTTGAAAGAGGGCACTGTTTGGAGAGGCACAGTGTGTCTCTCTGCATCGGAGAGGTCCCTGGGGTGGGCATTGATTTTTAGCAAATAGGGCACAGGGGTCACATTCATTCAGGTACTGGGGGTCAGCACAATATCTCTGCCTTGCTAAGAGCATGTTTGCACAGGGAAATGGACTGCAATAGCAGTTGGGAAACTAGCTGTTCTGCTCTATGTGGATGCTGATAAACTGGAATAAGAGATCCTGTTTTTATTCTGATTTAAGTGGCTCCAATTTGCAAGCCAGAGTGACCATGCCCACATGAGTGATTCAGAATTGTGAGAGCACCTTAAATGCACGCCCTCCCTTATTCTGGTATAATATCCCCTTGGGCTTTACCCATCGCATTTCGATTCCCCAACGGTAGCCAAAGGGACTTGAGTTTTTTAGGCATTTTAGACAAAACTAGTTTGTCCAATAGATTGCATGGGTGTCCTGAGAAACTAACTCACGTGCTGCAACATTGCATGATCCATTACTTCACTGTGTATTGGGATTGCTGAACTGGATCAGACTCACCTGAATTTAAACATCCTCTGTCTGTCTCTGCCCAGTGCTGACTGCTTCAGAGGCAGGTGGAAGAAACCCAGCAGCCATTGGAAACCCCAACCCTCCAGGGCTCTAACTGCTTCTCCTTTTGCTTCTGCAGCAGAACACGCAGCGGTTAGGGGTCTCACAAGCGACTCATTCTTTAACCACACCAGTCGTCTCAGTGGCCACCCCGAGTTTGCTGACACAGGGCCTGCCTTTCTCTGCCATGCCCACGGCATACAACACAGGTAAGAGCAACCTCCCTGGAACTGTCCTGCCTATTGAGACTGAAGCATAATCAGCCTGTGGAAATAAATGCCTTAGCAGGATCAAAGCGAAGCCAGGGATATGTATAGGGACAATGGGGATATCCCCTGTTATATCCACAAGGATCTTGAGGACATGATTTTTACTCATCCTGTGGCCCTGTTGTGCCAGGGCAGGGAATGATGCCTATAAAGTAGATGCTAATTGCAGTCACACCTACTTTGGAGAAGTTGTATAAGAAACTTGATGTAAATGATTGTTAGACCCAGGATGTCTGGAAGGAAGATGAGCTATCCTGTTTCTGGGCATAAATCAGTTTCTAGCTGATGGGGACTAGGAAGGAATAGGGAAGCTATAGGATACCTGTCTGCTCTAAAGGGATCACACAGATGAAACCTGTCAAATGCTTGTGCAGACTTCAGGGCTGGTTAGTTTCCTGTATAACTCATTTTGGCATCTGCTCATCTCACTGTCAGATAAAAATGTTGTTGCAAAGCTGTCTATCTGGAAGAATGCGGAATAGGCGTGTTGGAAACACCCTCTGTAATTAATAGGTGTTGCCCAACAGGTTTGTGTTCAGATGTGACTAGAAGGCTTCTTGTGAGGAACCCAGCCTTGGGCAGAGGATCCAGCACAAGGTTTGGACCAGTGAGTCTCAACCAGGGGTACCCTGAGAGCCTTTTAAAGGTGCCGCAGGGTTTCACACAGTGTTAGCACTGTTAAGTGTGCGAACATAGTTCACAAAGTAAGCCCAGAGATTTTAAAGGAATCTGGAGTGTTAAAAATGACCTGTTTTGGTCTCTCTTGTGTTCTTTGCAACAGCAGAATTACTCTAGTATTTTTCTATAGACAAAATACAGTGGAAACTAAGTGCTGGCATTTTCCAAGGGGTGCCTTGAGTTTAAAAAAGTTGAGAAGCACTGGCTTAGACCCTGCCAAAATGCCTGCAGTAGGTGTTCAGTTGGAAACGATCCTGCATTAGGATAGATTTTGAACCTGTTTCTTTTGCCCTTGCAAAAAGCAAAATATGCTGGCATGGGGCCCTTCTTGTCTGACCCTTGGGCTTGAGAGCAGAGATGCTATTAAATGACCGTTAGTGCTACGACTAGGGCAGAGAGAACCCCACTGAAATCAGGAGCACATTTTGCCAGCTGCTGTGCTCTCACAAAGGATGTGGATGGATGAAGAGTTGTCCTGCATCAAAGTGTGTGGGGGGAGATTTACTGCTTTTGAGTGGACATCTGATGTTCTGTAACTGCTCTGTCTGTCCTCTCCTGCCCTTCGGTAGGGGATACTAAGCTGCAGTGATTTTATCCCAGAATGAAATAGGTGGCAAATGACTAGATTAGCTTCCATTTACCATGGGATAGAGCAGACAGATGAAGTGGTTACAGCAGGTTCAGTTGAGCTGTGGTACGTTTCCTCCCAACTCCTTTTTCCACTAGCATAACTATTTAGTCTTTGTGCCTATAGCAAGAGCCAGACCCTGCCCCACAGCCTTTGCAGTCCAACACCAGTGGGGTTTTTCCTTCCACTCCTTGACAATGCCAAATATATCCCGAGTACATATAAGCCAGTGGATCATTGGGGCAACAGCAGCTGGGGGATCTAGCCCCCAGCAGACAGGATGCACAGACACATGGCTGGAAGGAAGTCCTAAAAGCTGGAGGTGAAGTTATTTCCTTTGGGAGACCGCTCCACCTCTCCCTGCCATTGAATCAGATTAGCAGAGGGGCTGAGCAGTTGGTTGGTGCAGTGACTGTAGGTGGAAATCAGACCCAGGTGCTCTAAGACGCCCAGGCTTCCTCCTGCTTGTGTTGAGGAAGCGGAGATATGAATATGCACATTTAAGTGAAACAGAGGTGCTTGGCATGGAATGAGGGGCAGGAAAGAGCTGGGTTACTGGAGCTCTGGCTCTCCAGCTACCCTGCACTTCATGCATCATTTGCAGCTTCTGTGCATATGCTCCTGCACCCAGAGGATGAGACCTCCACAGCTTGGTGTTTGGCTAAAGCTCTAGAGATCCATGATTCCAATTTTGGAGGTGTCTGATTCATTCTCTGGTGCGGGCTTAAATGACAGCCCCAGGAGACATGGGGTGGCCTGTACCTGGAACTCAGGTAGCCTGTGCAGAGCACTGCTTGGTGCATGTCCTGCGTCTTTCCTAGTGCCTGGTCTATAAGCCTCACTCGAGGTGGGCTGTTGGAAGCTCCTAGCGGACAGAATCCAGATCCGTCTCCTCATTCTGGCTGCAGTGAGGCCCGTCACACCCCGCGGGCATCAGGGGCTGCCAAACCAGAGAACCCAGTCCCGGGCCTCTCTGGAGGGTGCGGCCCCAATCCGCCCGGCAGCT